CTGAGCAGTTTCTTTGTGGCGTTAAAAACAGAGGGGAAAAAAGGGAAGATGGGCCGTCCCATCTTGAAGGGCTTAAGGCGCCCGTTTGCGAAATGCACAGTAATATGCGCCTGAAGCGTCGAATAGGATATGCTAGAAAACTGAGCTTCTTTACATCTGTTTTATGACAAAGGAAGCCAAACGGGCACATCAGGCAACACTTTCGCTGAAAAGCATTTAGCACGCTGCCAGGCCCACCAAATGAGTACTTCACTGGGATGTTATCTGTAGCAAATCCTATCTGGTGTGTATGCACGGCATTTTTTAACGGGCGCCTTAAGCGCCCGTTTCTTCTGTTGCCGCAAACGCGCGCATGGCTCGAACTCGCGATCTCTCCATTGAAACAGCAGCACACTAACCAACAGACCACCGTACCAACTGTGCCCATGTAGTTATTTTCATTCTTTTATTTACGTAGGCCACGAGAGCCCACCAAACCAGCTTTCAACTGCTCGCTGATTTCTGGGCATTTTTTTTTCTGGTTCTTTTTTATTTTTCTTTTCTCATTTTCCTTTTTATATTTTCTTAAAAATGTGAATTTTTTAAAATTCGTGAAATTTCTAAAATTGAATGAACTTTTATCAAATTGAGAACTATTTTTTAAATTTGATGAAAATTTTAAAATTCTATGAACTTTTTAAAACATGAACAATTATTGAGAACATGAACAAAAATTTATATACGACAAGCGATTTTCAAATATACACTGAATATTTTCGGTGTACAATGAACAGTTTTTAACTACACAGCGAACATTTTTGTGATATACATTGAAATAATTTAAAACATATTATACATTTTCTTTATATAAGATGAACAAATTTTATACATTGAACATTTTTGTAATATAATCTGAACAATTTTTAACCGCACATTGAACAATTTTGGGATATGCGCTGAAAAACTATTTACATACCCATTGAACATTTTTTGATGTACACTAAACTTTCCTTACTGGCCTATTTAAAATGTCATGAGCTTTCAAATCCGTGAACTTTTTCCTGAAATGAGTGAACATTTTTTAATACATGAATCTTTTTTAAAACAAAATCATGAAACTTCTTTTTTTTTGTTCGTCGGCTTTTTTTTTTGGAACAGCGCGGCTTGAGTTATGCATTCCCTCCGTTCCTAAATATAGGTCTTTTAGACATTTTAAATGGACTACAACATACGGATGCATGTAGACATATTTTAGAGTGTAGATTCACTTATTTTGCTCCTTATGTAGTCACTTGTTGGAATCTCTAGAAAGACTTATATTTGGGAACAGAGGAAGTATTAATAGTTTCACGGTAAAGTCTGCATGTCGAAGGTAGTAGTTTTTTTTTTTTTAAGAAATCTCGCCGACTTTATTGATTCGCAATGATGTTCATAGGTACAAGATTTGGGTTATGAGGGACACCAAACCAAACATGTCTACCTATGCCTAAATTACAAGCAAATTTGGTGAGATTGTGAGCCTTGAAATTATGATTTCTACGCTCATGCACAAAATTGCAGGAAAGAAAACAAGAACTACGAGCTATTATTTCATGTATGATAGCTGCATGAGGACCCCTAGTCCCCATTTGATGTCGTTGATGACCCCTTGGCAATCCAAGGCCATCGTGAGGCTCTGAATAGCGAGATCCTCGGCTAGTGATAACGCTTCCCTGCAAGCATATGTTTCGAGAATCATTGGGTCCGTCAATACCGCATTAAACAATCGCCGACGATCCAAGGTAGATGTCATTGCTGTTTTGACATACAGCTGCAGCCACCCCTCCTCGTCCGCCTCTCACTATGGCTGCATCCACATTCAACTTCATCATTCCCTGCGCTGGAGGTAGGGATGGCAATGGGTAGGGTATGGGCGGGTACAACCTCCTTCTGCCCAAACCCATACCCATAAAAACCTTCTATACCCACCCACTACAATACCCATGGGTATAAATCGATACCCATGCCCATACCCATCGGATATCCTATACCCAATGGGTATCCAATAGGTACAATCTATGGTATTTATATTTATAAAGTATAGAGAAATGAGTCTAAAATTCAAGTGATGATAAGCGAGTAGTATAGCACTGAGGCAGCCTCCTCCGGTGGGTGACCTCTTGGAGGAATCAAGCGAGTATGAGCAACGATTGGTGGAATCTCGATGTAGTGGGAGACGGCTGTGGGAATTGGGGATCCCTGGATCGAGAGATGGACAGGAGTTTTCGACGACGATAATTCAAGATTTCATCTTTTCGAGGAGACATATATGATGTAGGGGGAGGGGCGAGAAAGCGCGTGTGAGCATATCAGCTATGGCCGGTTTAGGGAATACAGGATTTAGGGATGGGCCATGGGAGTTGGATGTTGACACCACATGTCATAAGACTTATTTTCATTTATTTTTTTGTGGGTATCCATTGGGTTACCCATGGGCGCAATTTCATACCCATGCCCTACCCATATATTTTGCGGGTATGGATACCCATTACCCTTGGGTACAAAACCTCTTCAAGTGTTGCACATGCCCATTGTATTCGGGTAGGGTTCCCGTGGGTACCCATACCCATGGGCAAAACTGCCGTCCCTAGCTGGAGGTAGCCACAAGTTTGATTGTGCTTGGATTACTCTCGGCGCATCAACCGTAGCCCGACTCATTGTAATTTGGTGCAGTTCAGCTATGAAGGTGTTCACGAACCCAATAGTTTGTTGCGGGCTTTGAAAAATCCCCTCATAAACAGCCTTCCTTCTCGCAAACCACATTGCCCATAATGTAACAGCCATTTTAGTGAAGCTCATGTGGTCTAACAATTTAGATAGCTCGAACAGCCACACCTTGGCACTAGAATCTTGAAACTCTGACATCTTAGAGACGAGTTCATCGTCGGCCAAAGCCCACACACACCTTGACATGGAGCATGATAGCAAAGCGTGCCTCCATGAATCATCAGCACCACATAATGGGCATGCATTCTGAGTAGCCATATTTCGATGATGAAGTACATCCATAGTAGGAAGCGAGTGACCAGCCAGCCTCCATAGGAAAACTTTAATCTTCGAGGGCACCGCAATTTTCCACAACTCAGTCCATGACTTCTCATCTGCCGTACAAAAAGGAATTTTCAAGATTGCATCCGCATCAAAACGAATAAATACTGAACGAACCAATGTCTCATTCCACGTACCAGTAGCCGGCGACAGAAGCTCTGCCACCACAGTCGGCGGGTTTTGCACAAGGGACGTGATCGTCCTTGGTATGGTTTCTTTTGGAATCCAGTTATCTGTCCAAATGTTCGTGGTCTGACCATTACCAATCCGTCGTATAACCCCTTGTTTCAGAAAATCCCTCCCTTCGAGGATGGCGCGCCACACCTGGGATGGGCGAGAACCTAACTCAGCCTCCAAAATCGTACTTGCTGGAAAATAGGCCGCCTTCAGAATTCTGGCACTCAGGGTCGAGGGTTCAT